ATTACAGGTATGAGCCATGGCTCCCAGCCTATCTATCAAATATTCTTTACACCTTGATGTGTCTAGGGAAGCCCACATCTTCTGAGTCCACACATTCAACATGAAGGTAGAATTCCACTTTCTCTCCTTCTCTGCAGAAAAAGTACAAATATATGATCTAGACTCTGCCAATTCAAATCTACCCATGTGAGATATCAATTTGAAGATAAGTGGCATGGAGAATTGAACACCATGCAGAATGGCTTATCTAAGACCCAGACATGCAGATAGCATTTTCCACAGTTTTTCAGCCACGCTGCAAGCAGCAAGTCTGTGGTGCTGTGCCTCACCCTCCAGCTGGAGTCTGTGCTGATGTGGCTGCAGCCCCCAGCTGGATGTGAAGAGGTGGGAAAACCAAGTGCTCCAGCATGCAACTGGGATGATGCCCACCATCCTGCCACTGGCTGCTATGGGACCAGGTCTCCAGTGAACTGCATTCCCCCATTTCCTGCCAGTTATAGCTACCTGAGAAGGGCCCCACCCTCTCTGATTACAGACCCAAGTGCCATTTGGGGAGTGTGAAGCCAGAAAGTGCCTCCACCCTAGGGCTGAGGCAACTGTGTCCTGAGGAGCTTCCACCTGGCCAGGAAGGGACAGGAAAGGACAAGCTATTCTACACACCTTTCAGACAATATTTATTGCCCTGTTCCAGGAAACCATGGGACTGGGGACTGTCCTATCCAATCCCCTGCAGCTACCAGCAACACCAACATGGGGCCACCTGAGTGTTGGTGGGTGGCTCCACCACTCCCACTGCAACCTTCCACATCACACCGGGTCCTCAGGGGCCTGTGAAGCCTTCCACAAACCAGTCTCTCTGCTCCAATTACTAGCTTCTGAGCAAGCCACCTGAAGGCCCAAGAATTGGCTCCCTCATGGCACATACTGCTGCCTAAAATCAGGCACATCCAGCCCACTGCTGCCACCACCATGGGGGGGGGCGGGGCAAACACTGGCATGACTGAGATCCAGCTCTCCAGCAAAATTTCAGCACAGCATTAACTAATAAATGTGTTCCAAGACAGCAAGGAAATTACAGATACCACTGACCCTGCCTTCTGCCTAAGAAATCATGCAAAGATCACACTACTGCAGACATCTAAGATCTATCAACAACATATTACATCCCTGGTGGGTTGGAGCTCTCCTCATTGAAAACAATATCAAAAATTCAAACAAGTGACTGATGTGCATATATCAACAAAAGACATGGGAAATATTTAAAAAGCAAGGAAATGTACCACTACCAAAGGACCACAGCAATTGCCCAGCAGCTGGTCTCCATTAAATAGAATTTCTTGTAATATCAGATAAAGAAATTAAAATACTGATTCTCAGGAAACCCATGAGATGCAAGAGAAATCTGAAAACCAACACAAAGAAATCAGAAATCAATTCAGGATGTACATGAGAAATTTACGGAGGATAAATATCCTTAAAAAATAAAACCAAACAGAAATTCTGCAGCTGAAAACTTATTGAAGGAAATACAAAACACATCCAAAAGCTTCAAGAGAGAAAGAGAAAGAGAGGGGAAAGGAGGGGGAGGGAGGGGGGGAGAGGGAGGAGGGGAGAGGGAGGGGGAGAGGGAGGGGAAGAGGGAGGGAGGAGGTGGTACCTGTTGCTCAGTGGGTAGGGTGCCGCCCCATATACTGAGGGTGGCGAGTTTTAACCCTGCCCCAGCTAAACTGCAACAGAAAAATAGCCAGGTGTTCTGGCAGGCACCTACAGTCCCAGTTACTCGGGAGGCTGTGGCAAGAGAATCGCTTAAGCCCAGGAGTTGGAGGTTGCTGTGAGCTATGACACCACAGCACTCTACCCAGTGCGATAAAGTGAGACTCTGTCTCTTAAAAAAAAAAAAAAGAAGGAAGGAATTAATTTACTCCACTAACATTAAAAATCCTGTATTATTTCTAAACAAGATCCCTTTTCAGGTCTAATTCCTCACAATGAATATTAAAATATCAACATCTGACAACTCAGCTTATTCAGCCAGCATATTAGTCACCTTGTAAAAGTGAACAACAATTTGAAACAAGTCTTTCTTCAATGTACAAATCAGCTATGGCTCGCGCCCCAGTGACATCACAGTGAAATACAGGCAGGGCAGGGAGACTCCCTTTACACAACTCAAGTTCCATCTGGGGAAATGCCTCATTCTCAGTGTGAACAAAATAGTTCTGAGTTTCCCATTTGGTAATCTGCTTTTCTATTAAATAATAATTTCCAAATTAAATCTGCCACCCAGAAACATACATGTACCTCTCTTTACCTCCCAGTCATGTTTCTAAAAAGCCAACTCTTTACTCTTTTTTTTTTTTT